ATGTCCTTTACCACCTCAGTGTCAATGAAGGCCTCGACAGCACGCAGCACGAGCCCCTCCTCCTCTGACAGCACGTACACATCCTGAATGCCGTTCTCCAAATGCTCTCCTGGCCTGAGGAAGAACGAACGCTCACCCTGTGAGATGAGGAGACAGAGAGAAATAGGATGAAAGGAGTCACATTACATGGCAAAGTTATTATACTTTGAATTTGCAAGTTACTTTTAATTAGAGATTTAATATATAATCTATATGTATGGTTCTATTAGAACTTACATTTCTTTTTAGAATTTACCAGAGAATGATTCACTCACCTTCACCACTCTCTTCTGTCCGAGCTGAAGTTTTCCATCAGCCCCCACGGGGTCCAAAACCACGCAGTACTGCCTGCTGTTCAGAGTCGTTACGTCAACCACCCCGACAACCACCTCGGCCACAGAGGGTATGTGAGCTTCTCTGTCTGCCACGGTCACCAGCCACTCTTCTCCGGTGCGCCGCTCTTGGCCCCCGGTGTCACGGAACGGCCGGAGAGCTCGCACATGCAAAGCTTTCTAATGAAGTGGGAAATGACAAGCAGGCGTTGATAATTAAGCTTGGGGCAAAATTGTGCTCTGAAGCTGTGACTTCATTAGTGAAGTGCTTTCGTCCTTAATCACTAGGTGCTATACGTTGACCTTTCTGTTGAACCAGTTAACCCACCTATCCCTTATTACCCGTCTACTTAAAGTGTGAACAGAGAAACAAAACATGCTACAGGGAACTACAGGGAAAGGAACAGAAGAGGGTACCTTGTCCGTGAGGATGAAAGCATTGACAATATCCACAACCTCTTCGTGAGCTCCAGGCAGATAAGCTCCCACCTTACTGACCTGCCATTCCTCACCTGAACACACACACACAATTAAACACATACACACAATGTCAGACATATGTATTTGGTTATGCATGCAAAATATGAACTGTCAACTATGTTTGCCTATACAATGAAGGGCAATTGGGGCCAAAACCGCTCTGGACCCCACTGACTTCATGATTGTACGGACATTTTTTTAAATATCTTTTTTTAATGTTCCACAGAAGGATAAAAGTCATACAGTTTGGAACAACATGAGGGTGAGTAAATAATGAAAACTGGAATTTTTTTGTCTCACAAACCAGTAACTCTTTGGACTCCACTGCGGTCCAGGCCCTCTTTGCGTGCTCGGAGGCGAATGGCCTGATTCTCTCTGATCACCGTGGCCTTTATGACTTCAAGTACCGCCACCTCCTTCCTGGGAATGTACGTCCCTGCCGGAAATAAAACGCTCACCAGGTTAGACATCTTACACCATATGATGTCACCTATAATGTATAGATACATTACGATGGATGCAATGCACTTTACTGTGATTGTGAGTAACTTGCATCTCCCCAATTTACATTTTTTCTATTAATAGTCAACATGAGTCAGGTTTATTTTTATTGCGCCTTCTACAAAACACATTGTTTTGAAGCAGCTTTACAAATTGTATTTATATATTGTGTTATGCATCTTTACTGTGACAAAAAATGAAAAGATTAGAAGTAGAATTATTTTTTGTCAGGCCAGAAAGTTATCCCATAATTCCTGAACAAGTTACTGATGGACTAATATTTGACCCCTATTTACTGCATGTTTCTAGGTTTATCTATAAATGCCTTTCCAGAAAATGTCTGTCTTTGTATATGTAAAATCTTGCTTGGCCTCTGATTTAGCTTTTCTTTTTCAGTTAACTTCACAAATCTTTATTACCAACTGGCTCCATTTAGGTATGTAACAGCTACCTTTCACAATCCAGTCAATTCCTGATGAAGTCCCATCTCACATTTTTTCCTCATTAGCCATCCTATTGTCATATTATGGAGGTAAATTGTGTTGCAAACAGCATTTCATGTTGACTTCAGTTTTAATCTATAAATTGTTCAACATCTGAAGCTAACTGCCTCTAGCATAATGTCATTAATATCTGAAAAACTGTGCTGAATAAATTCACTTCTCCTTTCATGACCACCGTGAATCAATATAGGGAGAGATGTGTTAGTGTTTAATCTGTTGGGATTTACAGAGTTTCTGTTATGCTGAAGTTTTGTAGGATCACCATTGTGGTGAAGAGTAGAGCTTGAGGTTAGGTTGAAGATGGGCTGCAAA